TGATTTATGACCATTTTTCACATTTATGACCATTGGAGCATCTCTATGGTTGCATTATCAAAATTAAGATGTTTGGCAATTAGTTCATATTTGAAGGTTGCAGGGCCATGGGGTCATGTGATCAGCTTTTGCGACCTTCTGACAAGCAAAGTCAATGGGGAATCCAGATTCTCTTAAACAACCGTGTGACTAACTTAACAAATGCAATGATTCACTTAACAACTCTGGCAAGGAAAGTCATAAAATGGGGCAAACTCTCATAACAAATATTTCACTTAGCAACATATATTTTGGGCTCAATTGTGGTCGTAACTCAAGGACTACCTGTATAAAAAATTAAATACAAATTAAATATAATTAAAATATATGTTATAATAGTCTCAACCATAACAAAGGGACTTTGTGTTATGTAGGGAGACTATATATCTTCATACATGTCTTTTATCCAGTAATTAAGACACCTGGCAAGAAATTGAGAGACAGGAAATTCTAGTCCCATCTTAGTCATGAAAGCTGGCTTGGTGACTTTGGGCCAATCACCTGGACAGTGTGTTCTGGTCCTCCATTTGAATAGCCATTTGAGTTTGATCCTAGAACAGCCTATTGGCTACTTGTTCAGTGGAATTCCTAGGGGTTTAGTAGCTATCATTCAGATTCCTGAATTGTGTGCAATGGGTTTCCTTTTGTACTTGTGCCAATTCAGAAACAGCACCCAAGATGTCACACTCCTTGGCTAGACCAGAATTTCTTAGCAGAAATTGCCAGACACCCAACTTGGCCAGTTTAACTAGACTCTAGACCAGTGTTGGCGAACCTTTTCAGCACCGAGTGCCGAAACGGGAGCGCGTGCATGCACGCACCCCTGCTGGAAACCAAAAGAGCAGCTGCCTGGTGCGCATGCGCGTGCTGGGAAGACAATCTTCTGGTTTCCAGTGCACCAGTGAGCTGGTCTTCGCATGTGCATGTTCGCCAGAAACTGGAAGACCAGATGGCCGGTGCACATGCGTGTGCCAGTAACCGGAAGATCGTCTTCCCAGCACATGCATGCACACCGGGTGGCTGCTCTTCCAGTTTCCAGCACTCCCACGTGCATGAAGACCTGCTGGCTGGAACCCGGAAGAGCAACGGGTGACGGCTGGCATGCCCAGAGAGATGGCTCTCTCTCCATAGGTGCCATAGGTACCATGGCTCTAGACCTAAACTTGATTTAAGCATCTTAGATACATGACAGCTTCTTTACTCCATAGTAAAAAATCTTCATTAAAAAAAATGAGTGACCTTTTTTTACTAACTGGAAAAGCTAGAATACTGTTTCCCAGACTGGACACTCTGAATGTATTCTGATTACAGATGCATTGGCCATATTGAAAAGCCACCTCTGAAGAGCATCGAAGTGAGAAGGCTAAGTGAGCCCCTTAGAAGGATCTCTGATTCTACAGTACATATGTTCTGGTTTCATTAGTAGCCTTCCCAGTTTAAAGAAGGCTCAGGATGTGTCCCTTGTGCTTGCATCTGAACACCACAGGGGGAAATATTACTTTCCTTTTCTGCTTCTGGCTATGCAAGAAATAGCAGGACTCATTTTCTGGTCTCGGGAACCTTGTTAGCTTTCAAAGTCTGGCATGTTCAAACCAGATTAACCAACCAAGAAGTCATGGACATCTTAAAAACAAAAAAGAAACAGAATGCACATAAGACTCAGGCCTGAATCCATTCCTTCATGTGTACAGTATATCAAGTGTATAAACACCTTAAATGCGAAGGCTGGAGCATTGGGGTGGTTTGTTTTAGGTGTAAATATAATTTGAGAGTAGAAATCTACCTGCTCCCAGACAGAGTCAAGCCAAGGAAAATGTTAGCCTAAGCATGATTTGGCTGTAGTAGCACCTTAACTACCTACATATAATAACACCCTATGGAGTAGAAATGCTACTATACAAGTCATAACAACTGTCTGTTGGAACAGTAAAGGTAAAACAAAGTGTGTAATGATTGCCTACAGCACAAAGACATGCTTAGCTGCCTTAATTTGCTTAAGAGTGGATAGCCTAAATATGGGAAAATAAAGAACTACCCAGGTAATTGAAACCAATGGGAAAGCTTCTATTGTTGCACTTTTGACTGCCTAAGAAGGATGGAGTGACAAATCATTCTCCCTCTACCTGATAATACGTAATTATTTGGAAACACTAACTTATTTTGAATTTTTTTAAAGCTTTGCTGAGACTCAAGAACTCTTGGATCCAATGAAATCCTAGAGGATCTTTTTATCTTTAGTAATTGAAAAAAAAATCTACTTCATCTCTTGCTTGAGAACATCAGATACCGTTTAAAACTTAGAAACCTATGGCTCTGATTTAATGGTAATCATGTAACATCTGTTTAATTTTAAAATTTATATGGAGGCTTTTGGGGAAATCCCTTGGACTTTTTCCACTTTCTCTTTGCTCAGGGTACACTGAGGATGTAGAAAATTAATTTCCTGTGCAAAAATACAAAATGACAGCAGGCTCAAGGTTAAATCTATTTACAAAGAAAATCACTGCCAATGTTTATAATATAATGTGCAGATTTGAAATATTTAAGGTGTTATTTGGCAACCGGTGTTCTCATGGTATTTAAACATTACAAATCTTGTACAATAAACTTCAGTGTTCTTTTTTTTTAAAAAAAAAAGCCCTACTTTGTATTGATTTTCCCTATTGAATTGTGAAACTGTCTTTTTCATTCTGTTTATTTTAATAAAGAAGAACTTTTTTTGAGGTGGCTCATTTTCCCACCCTCAGATCTTTGCTTAAAGGGCCTACCATTCACCCAAATCTCTGTACTGCAACCATAAAGAAAGCACTACTGAAATATAATATTTAGTTGAATTCTTCTATAGTTTGGGTGAAGTGGGAAGAGAATACACACAAACACATTCAAACCAGGGGTGAAATCTACTTACTTTCCCTACTGGTTTGGAAGTGTATGTGCCGCCCACCCGCACAAACCCTTCTGCGCATGCACAGAGGGTAAAAAGCAGGTTACTTCCTGGTTAAAACCAGGAAGTAAGGACAACTGGGTGGGTGGGCAGAGTCTCGCGCTGCTATCGCTACCAGTTCTCTGAACCACCCGCTGCCATCATTAACGGTTCAGCCGAACCGGTCCGAACCAGTAGCATTTCACCCCTGATTCAAACCTTCACTATTAAGAGCTGTGATGGCACAGTGGTTAGAGTACTTTGTTCAATTTTCTTTTTTGTCCTTTCGATACAACTTTTACAGGATTATGATCTGCCCAGACATTAGATTCTATTTCTATCTCTTGTACACATGTTTTCAATTCTGATGACATCCATACCATATCTATTCTAGACCAAGATTTATATCTATTGGAATAGAATGTGTACTGATTTTTCTTGGGGTGTGTTTCTCTCCATACATTTAGGGCAGGGGTGAAATGTAAACTTTGTTACTACCGGTTCTGTGGACGTGGCTTGGTGGGGTGGGGGAGGTAATGTGACTGGGTGGGTGTGGCCAACTTTTTTTTTTTTAACTTTTCAAAGCATTTGGCCGAAGAGGTTGCAAAAAAATGCTTTGAAAAGCCTCTGCAACTCAGCTGGGATCGTCAGAGACTTTTCAAAGCATTTTTTTTACCACCTCTTCAGCCAAGAGGTTGCAGAAAAAGATGCTTTGAAAAACCTCTGACGATCCCAGCTGAGCCGAGCGATCATCAGAGGCTTTTTTTTTTTTTACTTTTAAAAGCATTTTTTCGTCAGAAGAGGTTGTAGAAAAAATGCTTTTAAAAGTTTTTTAAAAAGCCTCTGATGATTGTGCGGCTCAGCTGGGCATGGGGGGGGGGGCACACAGGGATTTTTGCTACCGGTTCTCTGAACCACCCGCTGCCATCACTACCGGATCAGGCAATCCGGTCCGAACCGGGAGCATTTCACCCCTGATCTAGGGTTCCTGTTTCTTTCATCATTTAAAAAAAGGTTTTAGGGAGTGTTTTCCTAGCTTTTCTACCTGTTTTACTACTCTTATAATCAAGTTTTATATCTACAGTTGCATTGAAGTCTTCTACAACACAAATATTTTCATATTCCAATTCTATAATTTTCTCCAGCTAAGAGATTAAGGGTGAATCTGCATTGCCAAGATGCCTTGGTTGTAAGTGTACATGGACATTGTCTTCTCACCTTCAGTCAGCCCTGGATTTATTACTAAGCAAAATAAGTTTAGGGTACCATGGAAAGAGTGGCACTATAAAGATTTTTCCCTTAGCTATCATGCCTTTAAACTCACTGCCACACAAAATTTGGGATTGAATTTTTTGTGATTATCCTTATCCTCCATGCTTGATTTTCATCTGCATTGTTAAAAATGTGTTATCTGGCAGGGGAGTCACTTAAACTTTAAAAAATCGTTTTGAAAGTTTCTCTAGGTAAACTTTTGATTCCATCTCACACCACTGTTCGACTGTGCTTAGTGCACCAGCTGGCCTTAATCCTGTTCTTGTGACTGTCACCTCCACCCATATTTTCCTGCTCTGGGCTGAAAGTTTGGTTTTCCTGCTTCTGCCAATTGTAGCCCTACTATCCAGCTTGCCTCCTACACTTCATTTTATTCTAAGCAACCTCCTGCCATTTTAGAGACTATGAACCCCTCGCCTCATTTTCCTAGCTTTTCCTCAAAACAGGAAAGGTCAGCGGCTGCTTTTTCATAGAGATCTTTCCCAGTGGCTCCAGATGTGCCTCTAACGCTTGCTTGGCATGTAGAACACCTGGATTTCAAACACAGCAGATTTAGAAATTATTGTTTCCTTCACTCAGCTGTGTACTATTTAGGGGGACTTTTGAAAAACATTAAAATTAAATTAAAAAGTCCACCAGGGAACCATTTCTTCCATCACTTGAGGTGTAAGAGTTACAGCCCTAGCTCCTGTCCACAGGACACCAGCAGAAGGTAGTTCAAGGAAAGATATAATGTATGTTATTTTTTTTCCAACATTTCTGTCAGCTTTCAAACTCAAGATGTTCTACTTGGTAAGCCAGGTTCACCAGTAAGTCATTGAAAAAGATCTATCACAGAAGAAGCGAACATGCCTGAAGAAAAGCTGAGAGAACACAAGAAAAGGTTTTCTTTTTTATTTTCTTTTATTTTTATTTTAAAGATGGCTGTTGTGCCTGCCTGTATTTATGTTCTGATATGTGAAATTTCTTTAGTGTCATCATGGTGCAAAATATGGTGACTGACCCAGATTGGATCTTGCAACATTATCCTGGGACACATATATTTGCCTTCATTTTCAAAATAATTGTCACATTAAGTTTGCTTCCTGAGTGACCCTGTTTCACTATTTTTAAGACAGGGCAAATTTATAGAGTCTGAGTTTGCATTTTAATTGTTGGAATTAGATATGTAGATATTGGGTCATTGTTATGATTGATTGATTGAGCATCTTTTCATCATATATTGTTATTAGATTAAGTTTGCCTGCTTATGTATGCTGTAATTCTTGCAAAGTCACTGGAGTTTGATCTTCAAGCATTTTCAGTAAAGCAAACAGCAGAAAAACACACTCCTGACTATAATATCATTCTCTGATCACTAGAAAAGACACAACAATATATCCTGGGCAGATTTCTTAGTCACATCACAGATTTGCCCATGAAATAGGCATGGCTTAGCCAAACCTACTGCAAGATTGGTATTCACTGATTTACAGATAACCAGAATATCAGCCTATAAATTATAACAATACACATCGGTATATTAATTAATTTATTTATTTATTTATTATTCGAATTTCTATACCGCCCTTCTCCTTTCGGACTCAGGGCGGTGAACAGCCAAAATAAAAACATTTATACATAAATACGATTAAAAATAGATTTAAAATAATTAAATTTGGCCCATAGTTTAAAATTTATCAATTTAAAATCCATGTCAAAATTTAAAACCAACCATAAAATCATAAAATCAAGAGAGACCGGCTAACTGAAAGAGATGAGTTTTTAGGGCCCGACGAAAGGTCCGGAGGTCGGAGATCACTCGTATCTCTGGGGGTAGATTGTTCCAAAGGGTAGGTGCCACCACAGAGAAGGCTCTCCTCCTGGGGGTCGCCAGCCGGCATTGTCTAGCCGACGGCACCCTGAGGAGGCCCTCTCTGTGGGAGCGAACTGGCCGGTGGGAGGCAATTGGTGGCAGAAGGCGGTCCCGTAAGTACCCCGGCCCTAAGCCATGGAGCGCTTTAAAGGTGGTCACCAACACCTTGAAGCGCACCCGGAAGTCCACCGGAAGCCAATGCAGCTCGCGCAGGAGAGGAGTCACATGGGAGCGCCCAGTCGCTCCCATAATCCCCCGCGCGGCCGCATTCTGCACCAGTTGGAGCCTCCGGGTGTACCCCAAGGGGAGCCCCATGTAGAGAGCGTTACAATAGTCCAGACGAGAAGTGACGAGTGCTTGAGTGACTGTGCGTAGGGAGTCCCGATCCAGAAAGGGGCGCAACTGGCGTATCAGGCGAACCTGATAAAAAAACCCCCTGGCCACGGCCGTCAGATGCCCTTCTAAGGACAGCCGTGCATCCAGGAGGACGCCCAAGTTGCGGGCCCTTTCCGTGGGGGCCAATGATTCACCCCCAATAACCAGCGATGGCGTCAGCTGGCTATACCGGGACGCTGGCAGCCACAGCCACTCGGTCTTGGAAGGGTTGAGTCGAAGCCTGTTTCTCCCCATCCAGACCCGCACGGCCTCCAGGCACTGGGACATCACTTCCAAGGCATCGTTGGGATGGTCTGGGGTGGGGTATTACAATTAGCATTTGTAATACTTCTCACAAAGACAAATATCTCTTTTGCTTCAAAGGATGATCCCTTGGAAAATATCAGGGAGAATTTGTAATGAACAACTAACAAGAAAGTTGCATCAAATAACACTATAATGGTGTTCGCAAGAGATCAATAAACAGTTTGTTGATAGATTCAGGGAATCTATCTGCTTCATTGTAATATATGGAACTGCATCTCCATATCAAATAAAAAATTCTAAATGATTACTTATGAAGTGTTTCTTACTGGTGCAACAGGTTAACTGGTTCTGGAAGGATCCTGCTCCCTGAAAAAAATAGGTACATAATTTGTAGATGCTCCTGGAATCAGCTTTGATTTCTTGATGTCCAAGTAGTAAGGATGACTTTTCCTCTAGCAAACGCTGGTGTGCTAGCTACCTTCTTGGGTACAGAGCTAAATCCTCTCATTCCCCAGTCATTCATCCTGTGCTGGAAATCGATGGATACTGATGATAAATGAAGCCAGTCAGATTGATATGTTCCACTTTACAATGGGCAGAGAGAGATTGATTATTATAAATCAGAGTAGATTTGGTGGCAGCTTTCCTAGGTCAAATGTGAGACTAATAGAGATGTGCCAGAAGAAAGAATAACACGTCTCCACATTGCCAATATGGATGGCATCAAACATTGGCTTTCTGTTATTTATTAGAATTACATCCCACAATTTTCCTCCAGCAACTCAAGGTGGTGTTGATAACATTTTCCCCTCCATTTTCCCCCACAACAGATTGACCAGACTAAAAGAAAACAGTTGGCCCAAAGTCACACAGTAGCTGATTTGAACTTGGTTTTTTCTAGTGCCAGATTAATGTATTCACTACTACACTCTAGGTAGTAATCCTACCTGCCTTCTCCTTTCATGTCCAAATACATCTCCACGTTACATTATAAAGGAAATTCCCTCCCGGCCCCTCCAGTCAAAAAGAAAACAAATTCCACTCAGCTAAAAATGTACAGTAATGAAGAATGAATGTTCGAGATTAGCTCATGCATTTGCACACCACCAAGGGCAAGAGAGCACAATTAAACACACACAGAGGGAGACAAAGCAAGCAAAGGGCTTCTCAAAAGTAGCACCTGCTTAAGAAGCCAGTTGAGTAACATACGGAAATTTGAGACACTTAAGATTGCTCCGTACAATAACTCAAAGTTATGGGAGATGAAGAAAATATTTGCTTTCAGCTCTATTTTCTTGCTCATTCCATTAGCACCCTGTTATCAGGGGAGAGAATCTGACTATCTGTCTCGAAATTGCTTACTGGTGCAGTAACTAATCTGACTGAAAAAATAGACGGAGAACTATTTAGCAAACCGACAGAGAGAGTTCCTAATACATGAAGGATGATTAATCATTGGTTTAACCTCTTTTTGTACACCGTCTAAAAATTCATAAGATCTGTCAGCAAAAGAAAGAGAATGAGAAGCAGATTTCCAAGAACGTATAGAGAAACACAAATACCCACTTTGTGCCCTTTCACACTTGGGGCATTTCCAGTTGACATTTTTCTTATGCAATTGTATAATCAACATGCACAGAACATAGTTATTCCTCAATTTACAGCAGTGGTGGATTGCCCCTGGTTCGCACCAGTTCGCAAGAACCGGTAGTAAAACCGGCCAGAGCCCCCACCCACTGCCCTGGATGTCATCACAGGCAATCTGCATCCTGTTGTGAACCAGTAGTAAAGATAAGTAGAACCCACCCCTGATTTACAGACCAAAATTTCCATTGCTAAGTGAAACCATGTCTAAGTGAGTTTTGTCCCATTTTACGATTCTTCTTGATACAGTTGTTAAGTGAATCACTCCAGTTGTTTAGTAAATCTAGCTTCCCCGTTGACTTTCCTTGTCAGAAAGATGTAAAAGGTAATCACATGACCCCAGAACACTGCAAACATCATACATGTGAATCAGTTGCCAAGCATCTGAATTTTGATCATGTGACTGTTGGGATGCTGCAATGGTTGTAAGTGTGAAAAATGGTCATAAGTCGCCTTTTCAGTGCTGCCGTAACTTTGAATGGTCATTAAATGAATGGTTGTAAATCAAGGACTACCTGTAACCTTAGTTCTATTTTTTTTTCCATTGTGTTTCTTGACTTTCATTGTTACATCTTCCAGTTCACTTGTATTTTCAGCTATCAGAGTGGTCTTATTAGCATAATACAGGTTATTGGTATTTCTTCCTCCAATTTTAGAGCCTTGCTCATTTTAATAACTTTTGATGTCCTGAGGGTTTTTACAGGTTTTTTTTTTTTTTTTTTTGCTCTTGAAATGGTGACATCACAATTTTCAAGTATCATTGAGGGAGGAAAGTTTCATCCTGATAAGGACTGCTTTTTAAGCTAAGGCGGAACATTGTTTTAAACTATCAAAAATAGATTTGTTTCAATATTATTACTTAAAAATTCCAGTCTGGTTATCACCTATTGAAGCAGTTTCACACGCAATAACATTTAGGAAGGAACAAATTGTTAGATATGGTGAATTATTAAATGAAAGGGGTGAACTTAAGTCGAAGCAAGAATTAAAAAAACAAGAGCTTGAAATGGATTGGTTTTCATATATGCAAATACAGTCTAGATATGATGAAGATTCTAAAAAGGAGGGTTTTTATAGCAACTTGACAAATTTAGATAAAATCTTAATAGGTTCTGATGACCATGTAATTAAAAAATTGTACAGTCATTTATTAGAAGTAAAATTGGCAGAAGAACAAGTTAAAGAAGCAATGATTGCATGGGGGGAAAATGTGGGTCATGGGATTGACTTAGAGAAATGGGAAAAATTATGGTCACAGAATTATAAAATGACAATGTCAACAGCATATAAGGAAAACTTGTATAAGATGTTTTACAGGTGGCACTTACCCCCGGCGAGAATAGCCAGAATGTACAAGAATAAATCGGAGAAATGTTGGAAGTGTCATCAGACCCCGGGCTCATATTACCATATGTGGTGGACATGTGCAGAAGCTAAAAGATATTGGACTAAAATCCACAGATGGTTGGAAAAAATGACAAAGAAACATATTGACTATAAACCAGAGATATTTTTATTGGGGATTTTATCAGAAATATACAATAGAGAAATGAGATATTTAATTGTGAATGTTTTAACTGCAGCTAGAATTGTATTTGCTAGAAACTGGAAAGGTGAGAAGATACTCACAGATGATGACATTATCAAGAAAATTTTGGAGTGTACTGAAATGAGTAAATTGACATTTGAAATTAGGGAACAAGAAGATAAACAATATTATCTGATATGGGATTTATTTTATCAATGGTTAGATAAGAAAAAATGGAAATGAAATATGACATGGACATGGACAAGATAATAAAATATATAAAGGGGTTTTTTCCCCCCCTTATAAAGGACAATTTACTGTTAAATAATTGGTAAATGAGAATAATAATGTAATAAACTGTTAAATAAGAAAATGTGGGATAGAGGATTAAGCACAAAAGATTCGTAACCGATCAATACACTTTCTGTGATTGTAATGGATGACAATTGTTTTATGTTTTAAGTTTTGTTTAAAAAAATAAAATAAAAAAAAATAGATTTGTTTCTTCTGCAGTAATTATGTTAGCAATCTTTGAATCTAAAATTGCATATTCTTTTTGAAGTACAGACTCTAATCAGTACAAATCCCTTATGTGTCCCCACATAATTACATTACAACTAACCTTTGGTGTACAACTATTCAGTTAGCAATCGTTCAAAATTATGACGGTGCTGAACAAGAGACTTATTAGGTCCTCAAGATTACAGCCTGATTATCCCTGTGGTCATGTGATCATGATTCAAAAGCTTGGCAACTGGCTAGCAATGTCCCATGGTCACATGATCACCATTGTGACTTTCTCTGCTGACTTCCCACAAGCAAAGTAAATAGGGAAGCTAAGTTGCTTCCATAAGTCTCTCCTGCTCCTGCCACATTTTAACCTGAGGAGCCCCTTCATGAGATGGGGCTCTCACACACCATAGTCCACCTGCCCACCTGTACTCTGTAGTGACCATCTGCAGCACCCACCTACTGGTATGTTTGCCTGGGACATGGTTTTAGCACCTCTTCTCACACCACAATCATGTGAGGTTCTCGCCTAACAATCACATAGTCCTTGCCTAACAACTGCAACCGGGGCTACTGGAACTGCAATCGCTAAGCAGCACAGTCACGTTTCATTTAACGACTGCTTCCCTCAGCAATGGAAACTCTGGTCCAATTGCCATTGTAACCCAAGGTCTACTTATACAATATATATAATTTAGAAGTCTATTTATATATTCTAGTCTATTTTTTCAAGGAGATGATTATCTGCTTCTCCTACTTTCCCTGACCTCCTTTTCCCATTCTCTTATTACCGTTTTGTTAATCATTAGAGGAAATAGAAAGTGGGTTTTATATTCTTACACTGTTCAATCTCTTCATAATCTTTAAAATATTCTGGGCAGGAGTAACTTACATAAAGCCATAAACACTATTTCATGCCATAAAATTTGCAGGCAGTTACACTTTTTGTGTTTTGGAATAGCTGCTAAATTCCTTTCTGCTGAAAAGTATCAGAAGAGAGGAATTGGGCAGAAAGAAAGGAAGGCTAACCAAAACCGAGAGCAAAGGAAAGCGAAAAAGTTCCAGGTTCGTTTTGGAACTGCGTGCTATTTTTGTCCTAGTGGTTTAGTCTCCATTAAGAAGATTATTTGAAATCAACAACACTACTGTCAATGAATAACCAGCCTCCATGAAAACAGGAATTCTCTGAAGAGTGGGAGCATCAAAGGTTAGCACCTGAATGATTTCATATGCCTTATCTTAATAAGAGCATTGTATAAAACCCAAGCAACGTTATTCATAACTGCACACAAAATACAGTAGGAAAAATACTGTCAGTTAAGTAGTGGATATTTAACACCGATCCAGTTCCTATCAGTCAAGGTCTCCTTTGTATTAGAAGATTGTTGGCACAAAGCAACGAATAAAAGGGTTGCTTTTAAAATGCTTTCCCCCCATCCCACTCCACCCGATTCACAACTGACATTTCATTTATTTTTTTTTAAAAAAAATTTTGGTCCTGGCTTCTGTACATCTGCAAGAAACCCAACGGAAATACCAGAATCTTGCATGCTTCTTTGATTGTTACATTTAAGATATCATGTGTGCTACCAGCTCAGCTGCTGCAAGGCATTAAAGTCAGTTAC